TTGGTAACTTGACATCTTTCTCTCGATCTCCAAGGTATAAAACACGAAGGTGCCATCTGCCATACATGCAATCAAGACTCGATTCTCGGGATCTGTTGGAACTGCCTGGATTGCAAGGTTACTGCGGTGAACCTGTGTTCATATTGTTACATGACCGATAAACACAGTGTAACCCATGCCTTCTGCAAATATAATTCCTCCGATGACAAGGGGTAAGAACAACAGTCACTTTAATTATTCAGACTGGATTAACGAAAAGTATTTATTTTAGTCGTAGAAAGCATAGAAATAACTCTGAAGTTCACTTTTCGATATAACTTTAGCTTTAACACTGTTTGTATCTCAAGTGAAACTCTTCGTCTTCTATATTTCATCACCTCAAGCGCTATTTGGAGACTGTGTTGCGTGACGAGCCAAACAAAGGCTGTGTTTGGTGTATTTTGAAGACAATTATTCATACAAATCACTTACTAGAACGAGCTGAAAAGAAGATCTATACCATGAAGTCAAAATATTCGACGGTTTTTGTGAGATCGAACTGAAATACGCTATGACTTCATCGGCGTAAGTGTCATGCAATTGTATATTTACTTTCTCAAACAGGAGAAGTCTCTCATTAACTTATTGCAGCTAATCAGAACTTCTTTAGATTATCACTTGATCCTAATCATGTTTCTAAGTGCGTACCTAAGCCTTGAAAAGAACTTTAGTTCCTTGCATAACATGATGTAGCAAAGCAACTCACTTGCCTAAAGAAGAGATGTAAAAAATACAAAGATCGCAGACACCATTACATGTTGCATTGTAGACATCGCGAGTTACATCGTCTCACTGCAATTCTCGACAAATTCGACAACTGTGCCTAAACCTCCGTCTGGGATGCCAACACCGTCGCCCTCATCTGATTACCAGTCGTGTAAAGGAACAACTCGGAATCCAATGCCAAATGTGTTGTTTGCCGAAGTATTGTCGAATTCTGATTTTTCTCCCCTTATCCTATATTTTGCTATCAATTTTATTGCAAACGAGTCTTCCTGCACATATGGTAGTTTGTTTAAAGTCCAAGGCTGTCTGTGCAGCTGTAGGAAAACCAATTTGTTAAAATGCCAGAGAAGAAGCGAGGACTACAAGGTAGATGGCTCTATTCCGCGATCGCGACCTGTCACGTTGACACGCACGTCACGTTAAGAGATGCAAAATGAATAGGTCTGGATCGAGTTAGGGTAACACATCGTACTGCTTACTGCGTGGAAAGATAAGTTACATGTATCGCCGTTTTGCTCATGTTATTCATTATCTATCGGAGACTTCATTCCGAACCGTTACAGTGGGCTTCTCTCCTTCACTCTTATTTCCAAATATGGTAGCGATCAGCGACATACAACTGTACCTGCCGCACGTAGCAGATAAATTTGAATATGAAGTCATTGTCTTTTCCTATTCCAATCTAGTTTCTCCTGGTTGGGCTTTTTTCGTTCAATCATGTATAATTTAAAACCAAGCCATCCAAAGTTAACTATTTTTTTTAAATGACTTTTCTCTTGGTTTTAATTTTGTGTAAGACCGGTAAGTATTGTTCGGAAAAGGGACTTTTCCCGATGCTAATGTTGTATCTCGCCAACACGCAAACTCATATCTTTCCTTCGCCACGTCGACGCTTCATTCTTAGTAGGAAGGAATTGGAGTATAAACGAGCAGTAGCCATTTGTTCAGGCATTTCGCCGGTTTCTTCGCAGCTTCAAACTTATCAAGATATTTCCCACTTTAACTTGAATGCTAAGGTAAGTTCAACAGTGAGCTGTGTTAAATCGATGAATATGTAACAGTCGAACAAAATGAGTTCGTGTAGACTTTCGTTCAAATCATCCCGTTTTTACATTCGGTTTTGTACGGAATGCACTGCATTTGGATTCAGAATTATTGTCTTAGACAAAGTGTTATTTTCTTAACATTTGTAATGGTTAAAAATTTGTCAAGAGCCGAAAAGGATGTAATGAATAGTGCATTAGCAATTGCTCGATAAGTATTCAGATGGCGAGACGTTGAGTATGCATCTTATGGTCAATGTTGTGATCATTCCAATCAAGCTACTTGATGAAGACAAAACCTTGATCCAAAAGATGACTTTTATGATATCCAAAGTCAGCTAATGTTTAGGGCAACTTCTCACTTGGCTTTGAATTGTGCAGGGCTCAAATGTGCTGATTAGAAAGGGACTTTCCCCGTTGCTGGGGATGTATCTGACCTTTTAAGTCTTGGCAGTGCAAAATCTCTCATGTTTCACTTGCCATTTCCTTTAATTCATAAGATCCTTGTAGCATTTTTAAGTCTGTGTTCGTCAAGTCATTTCTATCTAGGCACACTGAGATATCCAAACTCAGCTCGTGTTTAGAGTAACCTCTCACCTGCTTTGAATTGTGCAAGGCTCAAATGTGTCCTTCAGTCGGAAAGGGACTTTCCCCGTCCCTAGGGGTGTATCCGACCTTTCAAATCGTGGCTGAACACAGTCTCTTACGTTTCACCCGCCATTTTCTATACTTCATTAAATCCTCGAAGATACTGACGTATAGAGGAGCAGTGGTGACTCGTTAATATTTGTTCAAGCATCCCAGCCGCTTGTTTGCAGCTTCAGGCTTATCAACATATTTCTTTAACTTGAATGTTATAGCAGGCTTAACAGCTCTTTAATTCCTCAGCTAACCAGTAAATTCGATACAACTTAAACCGAGGTGTATCTAACGTACTCTTGACTCACACGGAAAATTCTAGCACTACCACTCGCTTAAGGCGCATTTCCTAGTTAATTATTACCATTTTGTAATCATCCTTGAAATCATGACAACAACTGATGCTAAACAGGCGCAAACGAAATAGCACGACTTCGACTTTCGACTTTCGACTTTCCAAATCATCTCGTCATTGCATTTGCTTTTATTTGAAACACGCTTTAATTGGGTCAAGAATAATTTCTGAGACATTATCTTCTTTTTCGGAACATTTTTGTAGGGAATGGATGTCTGTCAAGAGGAGCAAGAAGACACGTAGAGGCCTCAATTTACGGTAAGCTTGAGCGAGAAATGAATTGAATAAGCAGTACATGGCAATTGCTTTCTCGCACTCTTCAAATTACGAGACACGCAATTTGAGATTAGCGGCAGAGTACGCTTCTTATGGCTTCTTACGGCTTTATGGATCATTCTGATCGAGTAACGAGCTATAGGTGGAGACGAAAGTAAGATTCAAGAGTTGTTTGTTTGGAACAGAAACTATGCACTTTCACGGCATCAGTACGCTATTTGAAACAAAAAGTAGCCTCCAATCTCTCCATATATTGAGCACAAAATGAAAAATTGGAGATGCAGTGATTGTAGCGAGTGAACAGAAATTGAAAAAGGAAGGCTCAGTTAACAAGAAATTTGTTGTAGTTCCGTGTTTACTTAGTAAGAGCAAATATCAGTTTCGATTTCGCTTTGGATCGAAGATTTGTTTATAGTTTTAACTCATTCAATTAGAAATTGCTGTGCATTCTAGCTGCGCGAAACTTCATCGTTACAAATGAGCGCCACCTTAAATTTCAGTGTGTGTCGGTTGATTTTACAACGAATAAGCTATCAGAGTTGGCAACTAACAGATTTGGAAAGCAGGAAGGTTTTACAGATCCATTTCGTTAAGCTTTGTACTTTTAGAGATAACTGAACGTAAAAGTTCAATGTCAGTCACTGAGAATGCAACGGTATTGAAATTATTTTTATTTTGAAACCTCCAGGAACCTCTTATTTGTTTGTGTTTCGTTGCTGCAATGTATGTTAAATGTGGCTTATTTGCATGATTGAAATCATGATGTGCCCACGACATGTGCCTTAAGCGTGACCTGGAGTAGACAATCACGCTATTTTACTTCATATCACTCGAGTAAACACGGCAGCAATTAAAGGTCTCCAGAGCGTGAGAATATAATCAGGAGACTTTCTGTTCAATACTCGATGTTAAAACGAGGAATTGTTGCCGATCTACTCTCACACAGTATGGTGTTGCACTACTGTATTTGCTCGAATCGGTAGCTTCGAATTCTCCAGAGCTGCAATGCGTGTTCAAAGTTAAGAGTCCGGAAAGGTATACAATTCTTTGGAGCGTTTCTATGACAGGAAGAAGTCCTCGGTGGCTCAAACATACATTCGTAACCGTCACAAAGGCGAAAAATGTGAATGAAAAAGAGGGTAAAAGATAATAAGAGTGGGAAATCTTGATGAAGTAAAAGCTAACTTTTCCCCCCAAGCAAAAAGTTATCAGGCATTTTCTTGTGCGATCAGAGGGCTTTGTTTCACTCAAGCTCCTCATGCTATACCGTGACAACTTTGACATAAGCTGTTTTTAGGTTTATTATCAGTTATTCACTAAAGTAGCCTCCAGATGGGTATTACACGCTAAAAAGCAGTGTTATGTGTTTCAAGATGAAAACAGTTAAAATCATTGTGAAGCTGGATCACTTGGTCAATCAATAACCGCGCTATCAGGCAACAGAAGAATTTCCATACAATAAAATATTTAACAGATCCATATCTATTTATCATGAGTTGACTATGTCGTTTGCTTCGTGTGACGAGTCAATGGATCTTAAGATGTATGAACCTGTACTTTTCTCGTTTTGTTTAACTTCATTTACACCACATTGGCCAAAATCCCTCCATTATTTGCAGTCTGAGTGTGATATGAATAACTTGGCCTTTAAAGTTTGATGCAATCATGATTCCATCCTCTTTGTGCTACTAAATGTGGGGCTGAAACTGAGAATAATGATAACTTAATCATTCTGGCAACTGTCCTCAAGCATTGACTTATCCCTCAATTTTTATTTGTTTCCAAATGATGGAAACTTTCTGCCTACTTTTCTTTAGTTAAAACCCACGGTACTTTTGTTACTAATATGCTTTTTTTTAAATTATGTATCCTTTGCAGATCATATCCAGAGTTCAGTTCATTGAGCAGAAAAATTCGGATGGATGGATGTCCTCGGTAACGACAAAAGATGGCTTGTGACTCTTGTTACCTCAAATAAGGTCGTAGCTCCAGTTTTACAGGATATCGTAAAACAAGAAATGGACAAGCTGTATACTTTGCTAGATAATCACCTTAATGGCTTACCGACACCTTGTAGTCTACAAACACTGACCTATGCAGAGGTATGCCATCTGGCAGCAACGTCAAGTCTTGCTTCTTCGCTTAAGGGCTTAAATTTTGGAAATATTAACAACAATTCAAGTGTTCATGGAAAGAACAAAAAGACCTACAACTACAATGTAAACAGCTCAGTTGATCTTGCCAAGCTTTATCTCCCAGACTACCTGGCAGTATTCTCGGCATTCGACAAATCTATGGATTTGAGTGCCGCTCTTAGACTATTGGGATGTAGGAAGTATCCCGTACAAATATTCGTTTCTTCCGATCCTTTGCACGATATTCAGCCGTTGGCGGATGATGTCAGAGAGAATGTGAGGAATAGGGGAAGTCATTTTAAAGAGAGCGACTGGACCCAAATCTTCTTTGACCAGTGCTTTGACAAGTTAGAGGCTCTGATTCAATATCTGCCACTGCTTCCCGACAAAAAAAAGGAGCTTTTGGATGAACTTTCTGCATGGAAAACAGAAGGTACTAGAAATGTATCAAGCTGTGTAATGTACCTATTCAAGGAATAGCTTTAGTTTAATATAGCAATTCTCCAGGTTGGATTTTAACTCAAGACCAATGTAAATACGCTTAAAGAGAGCAAAGACGCGGCTTTCCAGGGTTCACAGGGCATTCTTTCCGGAAATTTGAAAACATATGTTTTTGGCTGCATTTTCAGTATTTTACCTTTAAACGAAGCTTCAAAAACATTTACCACTTAGAGCCAAACTCTGCGCAAACTCCTAACCCTGTTCGTGTTCATGACGTTTGACTGCTCTCCGCTCACAGGGATTAAGCCCACTGTAAAATCTGTGGCAGGGCATATTCCTGGCTTTCATTCATGGCCCTTTGAATATGTTTGTGATCGTTTATCGTTTATTAATAACGTCAAATCAAACTAGGCTGCCTGCCATTGCCATAATGTTTTCATTCACATGGCAACTCACGCGAGTCTCCGCTTCAGGGGTTTCCCCTGTGCCAACCTGGTCGTTGCAATCAAGTAAGCGGAACAACATACTCAAAGGAGCCAGCTTCAGTAGAAATTTATGTTATTCGCCAGCCGGAGGTCTTGAGTACTGCCCGAGGCCGTACTCAATACAGAGGGCAGTTTTTCCCAATACTGACCGAAATTCTTTCCAAAAAGCTTGAATGATTCAGGGCTGTATTTACGGCAAGATCTTCAGTAAACTGAGCAATTTTTGAGCGAGTAAATGGTAGTTTAAATCGAGGTAAAGCAAATTAAAGAGAGAGGCTTCACCGAAATGTTTTTATTGCGCAATGATAAAGGTGATTTAAAAGGCTTCAAACAAACTTCGTATTATTATTTTTACACCTGTCAGCTGGAGAGCGCGTAACCAAAAAGGCGCAAGTACACTTTTTGAAAAAACAACGGAACTAGTCTGGTGAGGACTGCCACGACAATGTTTTCTTCAAAAGCAGTCAATGATCTTACGGAAAGTATTATTCACTCTCGTTGACGATTAATTAATGTACGTAGATTTACCTCTGTTCAGTAGGTAAATGACAAGGAAATCAATTGTAAGTAAATTCAAACTTTTTATTTTTAAGTTGTGACAGTTTGTTTACTGCCATGGCGTATGTAAATCTGGTCTATACTTCACAAAATTCGAATGAGACACTTTAACAAGATAAAAGAGGATTAAATACAGCTTTTTCTAGTTTAATTCCATCGGTTTCTGTTTTGCAATTACCGGTTCAAATGTCCAAATTGAACGGACCTGGAAAGACTCACCTAGAGCGTCTTTGTAGCAGAACTGAAAACTTCGCTCGCCGTTTCACTACAAACAAATTATTTAGGAGAATTCAGATATTAAATGGATGAGAGTTCGATCGATCAATTCAAATGTAACAAAATACCTCACGTTTTAACTTTCTGGGTACTTTTTGTGAAGGACTAAAATTAATTACAGACGGTTTTTAGGCCGCTTGTCAACCGATTTCATGACACTTCTGCTTATACAAATTCATTTCGAAACCAATGTTTTTTTGTCAACCAAAGTGATTTTAGAGAGAGAAAAGAGAGGTTAATAAGTTAATAATCAGCTTGAGGTAGTGACCGACGTCTTCGCTTAAAAATACTGCCCAGCTTGAAAAACGAGATAAATTAATGAAAAATGGCAACGAAGGTAGGGATGTACTCGGCGACTCATGAAAGCGTTACCGAGCCTGTGGGCAGAGATAGGAAAATACGGACTGCGCTGAGAACCAATCAGATTGTAGGATTCTTTACCTTGCTGTCTGAGAAAAAAAAACTGCCTTATTCATTACTCAAACGTCGTAGTTACAATGAGAACATATCATGATTATTTCCTCTCACCAGTTACTTAGCTTAATCTCTGCCTTACATCGATACAGTCTTCATTATTATCATCATCGACATTAGAGTTGACATTATTATTATTATTATTATTATCATTATTATTGTTACAATTATTATTATTACCATCATTTATTGTACGGTCATCATTTTTAGGTTTTAAGCGGATTGTTGACAATGACGTCAAAGATCTACTTGAAAAATTCCAAAACGTCAAACTTGCTCCAATTAATGACAAATTGGACGACATGCCAACTAAAGAGGAGAACGAAAGAGTGATGGAAAAGCTGTCTTCCTTTCACACCAGTATGATGGATAGATTAGATAGAATGGAATCCTTACTTCGAAAAGTTGAGCACAAGTTAGACGGTAAGTTAAAAAACAACGACTAGGTGCAGTTTGTAAAATTCCAGTGAAAAATAATGTGGTAAGACTCCTCTGATCGCTGAAAATTTCACTCACACTTGCGAGCGAATCGGGGACCACGTGGTTAGATGCAGATCGATAAGTTATCGTTATTCAGCAAGAGTGTGCAGTTTTGCTCATTGGACACGCCAGTACTTTTAAAATGTGCATGATTAAGAGTCCTAATTGTTCTGTAATTTAAGTGATTTCTAACATAATCTTTATATTGCACCTTTAAATGCGAACAGAAATACAAGTATAGAAAGTGACCGACCATACTTCGGTTATTTCAAGAACTACGCGTCTTTTTTATTAACCGGCTGCATCTGTTAAATTATGCAGGCATTAGCGTCAGTGCTCTACTTCAAAAGGGTAGCAAGAGTGTTCACTCTTCAGAATCAAGCGTCTTATCTACAGACACCACTTCCAAAGAAACCTACCAAATGAGGGAAAAGGTAACATAATTTGATAACAGATAGTTTCAAATCAAAGGCTCAGACATTAGACAAAATAATAACGTACTTACTGGGGTTGATATGAGTTGATATGAAGTCGTGTGGTTGGGTTTGCCGGGCCTGGGACTCGTCTTGATGAAAAAATAAAAAAATCAGCATTGTGTTTGTTTCGATGTACAATAACACGAGGATATAAATTATTATTAATCATAGTTTAAATCACCCGAGAGAAACAAAACATGAGGACAATTAGAGTCAGACGGAGAGTTGTAGAAAGGTTAAAGAAACGACAGTCCCTTCAACAGTCCTTCTCCGCGAAAAAACTACACAATCAAATATCACTCTTGGGCTCAAACCATTACTGAAGAAAAGTTTACTTGCTATGCAATCTTTCATCGACTGGTGGACCCATACGGAAAGCAGGACTAAGAGTAGAATGCTACACCTGTAACGTGTAAATTTTTTTTAAAAAGTACATTTTTACTTGGAATGCGTTGACTTTAAAATTGTCTCTCTTCCCCCAGGACAAAAACCCAGAATTGACGTGTAAGCTTCGAGCGAAAATTGCCAAAGTAAGTCAAGTACTAAATTGTGTGACAGTTTTATGAAGTAGTGCATGCTTTAACAATTAAGAGAATAAAGGGGTAAGTTTCGAAAGAAACTGTGGTGCTGCGTCGGTGGGAGAGTATAGCAGGTAATTTAGTGTTAACAACTGGGTTGAAAACTTAAATTAGCCACCGTAAAGAGTGAAAAAGCTGACGTTTCGAGCGTTCGCCCTTCGATCGCTCTGACGAAGGGCTAACGCTCGAAACGTCAGCTTTTTTACTCTTTACGGTGGCTAATTTACGTTCTCAACCCAGTTGTTAACACTAAATTACCTGCTTAACAATGAAGACTCCGTTGTGGTTAAATCAGAGGATCAGTTCGATGTTATCCTTTCTGCGAACATCTCGGAAAAGTTAATTTTGTCTTTTTGGATTTAACATATCCCGGACCAGGAGCCTCCCTCTCTGCCCTCTAGTTTTCTCTTGATCTGGGAAGGGATGATAATCGGCGGTTTTATACGTACAGCGTACAGTTAGCAATTTTTTTTTCATGTTATCCTCTTGTTTTTTATTTTGAAGTGGAGCGGGTAAGTAAGAAACGAGTACATAGCAAACGAACAACGCTTCATTTTTTTGTTAGAAACGGAGAACGATTCCCTTTCTTGTTAGAAACGGACAACGCCTTAAGAATCTTCATGGTGTTGTCGGAAACAAAGAACGCTTTAGTGATAAAAATTTGTCAACGTTATTGCCTATTAACAGTCTGAAATTCAGATCTTTTTAGTATTTGTTTCTTCTGGCGACTTGACTTTTTTTTGCGGGGGACATAACTGAAATTTCGGGCAACATGACTCAGGTTTCGGGCGACATGACTTCGGGCGAGATGACTTTCGGGCGACTTGACCGTAAATCTTCGCCTCACACTGCCGAGACCTGGGTTCGATTCACGGACCTGGTGTCACGCGTGGGTTGAGTTTCTGGTTGGTTCTCTTCCTTGCTCCGCGGGGTTTTTCTCCAGGTCCTCCGATTTTCTCCTTCCACAAAGACCAACATTTTTAATTCCAATCCAACCTGGAAACGGTGGACAAGAAGAGCCTTCTCGTGGAAAGCCCACCGCTAAATTATTTAATCCTATTATTATCGTTATTTTATTATTTTTATATGTCCCATTCTTCCGATTGTTATGCTCTCAGCACCAACTCCTCTTGCTATCCTTCAAGTTCTTGAATTTTTACACTGACTCTTCTCTTTTTTACTTGTGCTACTTTATTAACCTTATTAAACTTATTATTATTGTTACTTTTATAAGTGTCTTATTAGCAATGTGCTAAAAAGCGGTCCTACTTTTACAGTTATCAAGAAACATTCTACACAAAGCTGCAATCAGCGGTCGATGTGACGTTGTCAAATTTCTTCTTGAGAGTGGTGAAGATGTGGACCAAACGGATGAGGTTGCTAGCTTGATTTTGCGTTTAGATGTGTCTGTTCTTGTCATTAATTGATTGGTATTTGACGTTTGTCCAACGATTTGCTTTGATTTTGCAGTTTAATTTAACGCCTCTTCACCTTGCCGCATGGTATGGGCAACGAGCTGTTGTTGAACTCTTGTTACAGCACGGTGCAAATGTCAATGCTGTAAATAGGGTAAGTTGGTGACCGCTCGTGTTTCTGTTTTGGCAATACGTTAGATATACAGTATTGATAAAAAAATTCTAAGCAAGCAATGACTTTCATAAGCTCTTGAAACATTTCTTTTATCAATTGTTTCTCGTGTCTAGGAATACTCATCTTATTGAGGGAGTTGCAGTTGCATTAATATTTTGACCTTTGCAAATTGACAATTTTTTACCTTTCAGTTTCAAAAAACAGCGCTACAAAAAGCTGAACGCAACAATCACCGATCCATTATTGAGCTGCTTCTAAGGAATAACGCGAGTCCCAGTTACAACCAACCGGTATGGTCAAAACTGTATTCTTCTTTCACGTTTTGAAACTGCTTCTAAAACATCTTTCCATACACAGAGGAGCATCAGGATAATTCACTAAGATTTAGCAAAAGCTTCTTTTCGTTACGGTTGTTTAGGATTTTGGTTTTTTTTGTTTGTTTTTTTGATAACTTATTATCTACTTATTTTGTAATACAACATTGCCATTTTCAGTGTTTTTGAATGATAATTCTTAGATAATGTACTAGTTTTTATGTTGAATTTTATGTTGAACTCGTCATGACATATTATACTTGTATCAGTGTCACACAAGACTGTATCGTTTGATGTTGTCCTAAGAACTATTTTTCAGCGATAAATTTCGTGTTTTTTTAGATAAATTACTTGCTATAACCTATTTTTTATTACAGCTTAGCCTACTGTCCCTTTCAAGAAAAGCTTTTCTCCATGTAGATGCTCGATCCGGCTTCAATCGACTGCAGGCGGCTGTATTTCACGGCGACTTAGACATGTTCAAAGCTTATGTACCCCTTGAAAATTATCCTCATGACATGAATTTTCCAAAAACAGGAAGCCATGCAAAGGTATTTCCTGAAAAAAGTGCGTTAGAGATTCTCTTGGCTCTCCAAGATAAAGGAGGGAGTTATATTATGGCATTAAAACTGTATGAAGACTACGTTGAGATGACCGATACATTAACTAAGCTGCACTTGTGTCAAGACAACAGTGATGTAGAGAAGGCTGTCGAGATTGTTCTAAACGAGGGTGTGGATATAAACATCCCAGGTAAAAGCAACCGTACGCCTTTAATGTGGGCAAGTTCATCAGCCTCTGGTGAGTTTATTGAAACCCTCATTGATCTTGGAGCTGACGTAAATGCTCAGAGGACAGACGACAAGATCGCACCTTTGCATTTGGCAGTTTGTTGCAACAACCACATGGCCATTGACATCCTATTGATGAAAGGAGCTAATGTGGATATTCAAGATGCCGATGGTCTCACCCCGCTTTATATGGCAGTCAGTAATAAAAAAGAGCACCTGGTGAGGCGTCTTCTTGAAGGTAATGCTGATGTCAATATGAATTACGCGGAGAATGCAACAGAAAGAATTTACCTTGTTCGTGGGAAGGACAGAGGGAAACAAGCTTGGCATTATGTCCTAGTAGAGAAAGCTTTATTGCCCTTGTTCTTGAGGCGCACTAACGGTGGTAGTCTTGACGTTGAAGACTTTGGACTCGTCCTCACGACTGGATGGGGAAAGGATCCTCCAGAGGAAGCACGGAGGAGTATCCACGAAATGAGTGCTACCTTTCCTGACACAAAAAGTCAGACAATTCTTCATGTTGCTAGCCAAAGTGCTGGTCCCGAGATCGTTGATCTGCTATTGAAGTACAAAGCAGATATAAACGCGAACGACATGGACGGCTTTACCCCACTGCATTTGGCAGCGATGTATGGCAACATTCAAGTTGTTAAAAAACTGGTCGAACTCAACGCCGACGTTAACTTGAAAGTGGATGGAAAGGATGCGGCTGACTTGGCTCAAATGAACAGAGAAACAGAAATTGAGGAGTATCTTAAACCAAAAAGAAGAGAGAGAGAGAGTCAATCGGCAGAAAGTCAATCGGCGGGAAGTCAGTCGCTTTTAAAAGCTGCCGTCAAAGGGGCAGAACAGGGCTTAAAGTATCTTGAAAGTCGCTTAAAGTTCTTTTAGGAAAAATTAAGTTAAGTCATGCCGTTCACATTATTTTAGACTTTTCAGCACACAATATTTATTTTGCATATATATATTTTGCAGCGAAGAAGACTTGTTTACAAGGCAAGATCATCGTGAAGTTTTCAATTCATAACTGTATGGCACTATTATTTACATCACCGTATCACCCTAAATTAATTTCTGTTAATTTTTTGGATCACTTAATGTTAATTTGATGTTTGAAATTATTTTGACTTTTTTTTAAAGAAACGTTGATTAAGAAAGTGGCAGGTGATCGGCTGTGCGAAAATGGTGCGGCTATTCACTTTTGCTTTGTTCATATGTGAATGTTTTATACCCTAACTATTTCACCTGCACATATGATTGACATAACAATCGATTCAACGGGCATTTCACAACGTTATGTGGCAAATAGGGATTCAAAAAAACGTAAACGAGTGCAAAAATTAGAGCCAGAGAAAGTTAGGTCTACAAAGCGACCACATGAAAATCATTCGGTGTTACAGTTATCTTTTGAACGTTTGTAAATTTAATTTGTTTTACCCTAAGTTTTCAACGTGCCTATATCAGTTGACATATAACTTGATTACACAACATGAGAGTTTGAAAATTAATTAGCAAACAGAGATCTGAAAATCACATGGGCCAATCGGAACAAAGAACAACATCCAAAAGGAATCAATTAAAACCCAAAGTAAAGACATGAAAAAGCTTCAAAGGGCGGGAAAACGCGGGTTACCATTTCGCGATTGATTTCGAGCTTTTTCTTCTGATCGAATGGTGTAGGTTTGTTTACCAATCACAGAAAGCAGTATAACAAAACCGATATAATTCCGTATTACCTTCCAAACTCTAATTCAAACCAATAGGACGTAATTTAATAGTTGCTTGACACTGGCAATAACAGCAGCGAAGGTGCAGGTCGGCATAGAAACAAAAACTGTACCGTTGTATTGGGTAATCAACAATCTTCAGTTCATCTTAATTCTACGTCAGAAATAAATATCACAACATTCAGTGTTGCGTGCATTGAAATCTTTATTAGACTGATGGGGCATGCTATAAATAATGATCACTCTGTGTCACTCTGCAAAATAAGTTATAACAATAAATATTGGAGGGAAATTCAATAAAAAATAAATTCTAATATCAAACTTTTTACGGCGAACTCTCGATCTTGTTCGCACAGCGCCCTGTTGGGAGAGCGAACAAGTGAGAATTATATCTCTCATAATGTACACAAGAACGCTAAAGTATCGCAAGTTAAAAGCGATTTAATATCAAGAGAGAAGCACCAGGCTCTCACCAATCTTCAATTTCGCAAATAATTCGTTAAGAAAAATTGTACGAACTATGTAGGACCTATCTTCAATAAATAAGCGAAAGGATGTACTATTTTAGAAGATACTATCAAACTGGAATTAGTCTTTATACAATCCCCAGCATGCAAAGAAAATAAATTGATATAAATAGAATAAATTACCACTTGAATATAAAGTACATCTAGATGTATCCTTGTTTTCATGTAACATCACAGAATTCAAAGTCAAAAATTTGACCGTAAAATACCACCCCCCTTCTTGCATAAATAAATCTGCGAGGCCTTTTACATTTCAGCATAAATTGTGACTGGTCAGAAAGGAAATCCTTTCCTCTTCCCGTTTCATCTAAGAAGATGTAATTATTTCTTCTCACTTAATATTCAATACAAAGCTTTGTGCTATTACTAAAATAGAAATTACTACACTCTTACACAACTTCAAAATAATCACGGACCATATGCTAAGGATTCTTACTACGAACGAAAACAAAGGGCATATTTAGGGCGATAAAAGATTACTCTCGGGTCCTTGACACATACTGGCCTCTGCCAGGCTCTCCTGTTAGTGGAGACAAATAAATTTTTGGTCGAGAGAAAATTGGCAGGATTTTCATTCTCTCCTTCTCTCCCCCCCCCCTTTTTTTTCTGTCACTCGCCCCGATTTTGCACTCTACTCACAAATGAAATGAATGGGACGGGTTACATGGATATTGACGCTAGGAAACAACAATTCACAGTGTTAAAAAAAAATGACACTTGTGTTGGTCAGGCAGCGTTGGGCAATCGTAACAATGAACGACTGCTAGCAGAGCTGATTGAAATGTAGTAACCATTAGGAGTTGCGGTCAAACTAAAAAACATTGGGTTACAACGTTTCAGTATTAAGTGTCTGCTAACCCCATGAGGGGGGGGGGGGGTTTCACTTGAAGGACTGGGTCTTTACAACTGAGCTTGGTCGACCAGACTGGCTTGATCACCAACATTCCGTGCACTTTGCCACAATTTTCATTGCTCAAATCTTACTGTTTTCACACGAAGAAGTGAGCTTGGAAGATAAGCTAAAGAACTTACAAAGGTCCTGTTTCTCGATAAATATATCTCGGTTATGAAGAAAGACAATTTACCATTAGGAGACCACAGCCCGATTATTAAGAAAAAACTTAAAATAATAATTCTTTTTCAACTTGGTAACCAAGATGAAAATTATTTTTATATACAAAAGCGACAATTCCAGACAACCCATTTGTCGAGTACAGATGAAATGGTCCTTTACAAGGCTACACTAAATGCTTGGTCGGCTATTTACAGAAACTTTCAAAATAAATTATGCCCCATCACCGCATAGACTCAAATATCAACCAGTCCACCCGGGGTAACATCAAGCGAAACACCTCAAGGTGGAGGATTGCTCGTCTGCATATATGCAGCATAAGGTGGCGGCCTCTCATCAGTAACTAGCGTCTGTGGACAGAAAAAAAAAAGAAACTTAAATTACACGTGACGTTTTTAGAAAAGGGGACGTCGTGAGGCACTTGAACACGTTAGTGGATTCAGAAAGGAAAGATCTTGGCCGAAGCTCATGTTCTGAGCGCTTTAGAAGATAACTTTCCCAAATATGAAACCAGATGTGGTGATAAATTAAATTTTAGTTGACGATAAAATGTCACAGATAGCAATACTTCGCAGGACCACACGATCAAGCTTTCCACTGTGGTAAATTTTATACATACTCCAAGACGCTTTTCAGATCAGTCCATGCAGCCTGCTCACCAACTACAATCATTATTTTGCATACCTGAGATTGTATTTGAGTCTGTATCTGTGGACTAAGAGCACTTGCGTGTGTCACAGTCACCATACCAGCTGGGTTGGACCCAGGGGGAACAGCCCAGTAGCCAGGCTGTTGGATGGTCACCCCAGGCTGTGAGTGTAATGAAGTTAAAAAATAGAAATCAGTGTCAATGTCAGGTATTTGATTCATTAATGGCACAACATGAACAGGCCTCAAAGTTATGTGCTTGACTTAGGTAATTAAAACCTTTTAAATTTTACATCCACTTTAAAATCAATAGCTCACTGCAATTTGATTGGCCCTCAGCAGTGCAATTCATTCACGAAGTGCACATGGTTTGCTCAAAATTGTATGTTCTGGCAGGTGATGAGAAGGAAACATTAAAACAAAACCACCCATTAGATTTCAAAGGTTGTTTAAAGTAACCAATCAAATAGCTGGAAAATGAAAGACAAAGAAGCCGTTGTGTGGAAAATTTTGCAGAGTGCTGGATTAACAAAAATATTTGACTGTATTGACTAATGAGCCCTGTATTTAGGTAATTAAATTGTGCACTTTCCAAATGTATGAAAAAATGTAGTTCAATTTCCGTTACTACCAGCTGGTGCATAAAAACTATACAGACAGACTTTCCATGAAGTATTCTATATGAACAGGACAGATCTATTTGGTTTAGGCCTAAATAACCACTACCATGTGATGGACTGGCATCCCATCCTGGGAGGAGTAGCATTAACTTGTTTTTGATAGACTATAAACTTGTTTGAGTTTTGTTATTGTAAGAAGAACAAAGAAAGAAAGAAAGAAACAGATGTGAACAGAAGCAGACAAAAGTAAACAAGAACAAATGAAAATTAACAAACAAACAAACAAAAATACACAATTACAAAACAAAATCAAGTAAAAAAAAAAAAAATTTTTTTCTTTGTCCCACAATTGTGACAAGACCAAAAAAACATCTTTCTTTTTTTTACCCAGCCCAAAACTTACCATCTTTCTCATTTTATATACATTTTAGACAATTTTAGCTTAATGAGTTTTGACACTGCAAACTTGAAAGTGACTCTGCCACAAGACAAACAATAAAACTTCATTATGACTGCATTCATCCTTATTTGAAACCACAATCTTTTTTTCAAAATATAACTCACATGAACTTGCTGTTGAACATAAACTTGAGGCTGGGCTACTGCTGGGTAAGCTGGTGTTGTAGTTGTAACTCCACCAGTTGGCTGAATGATAACCATACCTCCCTGTGGTCCTGTAAATGCAGGCCGCCCAGGCTGAATGTATGTCACTTGTTGATTGGTTACCGTCTAACAACCAGAAGTAAAAATAAACTCTTTCAGTCCCAAAACTTCTCCTCATAATACCAATCTCTCAATCAATACAACCATCATTGAGTTTAAAACATTCAGTGACTGAGTTTAGTCTGGCAGTATAGAAAAATATTTTGGTGTTAGTCCTGAAGTGTGGACCCTGCTGACTATTTAGTAATAACTGAAAAGAAACCATCCTGCTTATTTTCAAGTTAAGCTGTAACTGAAAGCCAAAACAGAGGTTTTTTAACATAGTTGCTGAGTACTATGCTAAGTGCAGTGAGTAAAAAATAAATTGTGAGAGATACATAAGCTGGAACTCCAATGATAGAGATCTTCATGCTCTTTTTAGCTGTGGTTGATATAGGCTAGGTCACTGAGTTGTGTTCTGGGACATGACACTCCTCTGACATGGTCTCTCTCCTGTACCAAGGAGTATAAATGGGTACTAGTTGCTCCATGCATTTATGCCTCTGACACAAGTACTGGTTGAATGATCATCTAACTTTCTGTGCCTTCTTAACCCTCTCAATCCCAGATCTTATTAGAAATTCTCCTTACTGTTTGTCATACAATTCTCATGATGTTACTTTTGGAAATTTGGTATTGGATCAAAAATAATCCCTTAATTGATCCTTTTTTCCTTATTCTCATCACTTGTCTGCTTGATACTACATTTATATTGTAAGGAGAAATTCTATCTTGGTCACTCATGGGAGTTAAAGGGTTCATGATCAAACTGTGGTACATGTATATCTAGCAAAAGATTCTACCATGCAAATTCATGAATACAAAGTGTCTACTGATAATACGAACCACTCCTGTTGGGGTGTTGCAACAAACAGCACCACAGCAGTAGATTGATGCAGTAAGAGACAACATAAACTGAACGACAGCGCATATTAGAAGGCAGGAGCCTAACCCAGTTCCAACAGCAGCCATATGCCTCTTACTTGCAGAGTAACAATAGACTTTGAAGTAACTGTAATGGTAACTCTTGCAGCTGCTGATATGAGAGTAGTCTACCAGAGCAATACAGTAGGTGATGAACATGAACACAGTTAGAACACAAGCTGTGATGGCAAATCCCATGTAAGTGCCAATCTGCACAAAACAGCCAGAAAAAAACCAAGGTTACACTAATTCAAGAAACTCAATATCTTTTGTTGCCAAGATATATTAATAAATAAGTAAATAATAATAACAATAATAATAAGGTAATATAATTCACAAGTCTAAATGCATTTATAAAATAATTAAATAATAATGAATTCAAACAAGTTGGAAATAAACATTATGATATTAATTACTGATAAACACAAACATATATGTAGCACTGGTTAATTACACCAGGTCTAAACCAAACCACAGTTTTACCCAAAAAAGTGGGCCTCAGGCTTTCTCCTAAAGAGAGTTGATTCAATTAACCCTTTAACTCCCAAGATATGATTGTTAATTCTCCCCTGTAGCTGCTACACATTTCCTTGTAAATTAGTTATGAAAAATTGGTGCTAGATCAAGATGGCAGCTTCTACCTGATAAGTTTGAATATTCTCATTACCTGTTTACTGAATAATGTATGGATATTGTAGGGAGAAGTTTTATGTTAATCACTTCTGGGAGTTAAAAGTTTAAATAAATGTCCTTCCACTGTTTGCTTTCCAACCAAACTGAGGATTGTTTCGGATGCAGTTTGCTCAGACAACAGCTGTTTGAATTAACGCTTAAAGTAGTTAAGAACCCCAACTGGCAGGAGGCAGACCAGTTGGATATAACTTATACAAATTGCAGCCAAGGAACCACAAAAAAATTGAAAACAAATCTTGTGTGTAACAAGGCAAACCCCAGGATCACCAGATTACAAGACCAGCACCCAAACCACTCATCTTCTTCTACATCCCAGTGTGTTCTGCTATTTGGTTTCTCTAATAATTATCCTAACATTTTTTTTTGGTCACAGTCTGTAAGCTAGTAATGTTCTGCTAGATGAGTACATTGCTTTATCAATATATAAACCATTAGCATTATCAAGCATTCTAGATTTACAAGCACAGGGGTGTGTGCAGCTTTAAACTCACCAAACACCTGTTGGGAGTTGAATCATCTTTTGCACCAACGTATCCAAAGATTCCTGTGAGAAGAACCTGTAAAAGGAAGGATAAAAATTTGACTATACTAATAAATTAAAAGTATTTCATAATTATTCTCTACACACACAAAATCAAAACATGTATAGTAACCATCATGAAGAAGAAAACCCCCATTTTTTTTAACAGCGGTGAATTCATGTGCTTTTCAAGTTTGCTTTTATTCAGGAGGATGTAGCAAAGCGTATGGATATGATGAGTAATTTATTATCAGCTAACTCGAACTCAGTTAACAGACTTGAACTAATATTACTTTTACTTGGTTTATTGCGATTGTTATTAAACCAAATGTTGCATCTTGGAATGTATGTACTAAAAGTGTGGCAGCTCTTATCACAAACAGTGGTCAAACTATACGCGTGTGATTTTCTTTGCAAAAACCAACTGATGTAAACGAGTTTGATTTCATATCAAAAGAGATTTTTTGGACCTCGTCTCAAGAAATCTTTGGTCATGCCACATCTGAATGCATAATGTAGTATGGGGCTGTGCGGAAATTTTACCAGAATAATACTTACCAAGGGCTGTAAATTGTGTTTCGTGAATCGTAACATATCAAGGTAAAATATTTTTTCGGAACCCATCTTCCAGAATGATCAAATTGAAAAATTGAAAAAGGTATCTGCACAAATGTTTTGTAATTTAATCCACAGCCCGTGAGCATCTTACTCCCAGGATTAAGCATAGCAAATATGCATATCAGGTGTTTTATTGTTATAAACAAACTGGGTAATAACCTTGTGTGCAGAGGAGTTGATCGCTCCGTTATACTGACGCAGTAATGAACTACTAAAAACCCTCCACAAAATCACCTTCTAAGTGCTCGTCAATGCCACTAAGAGATCAAGAAATTTGGCGTACACAGATAATTTCCCGATGGCGTAAATAACACCAAGGGAGTGATCGTATCTATAGAGACGAATTGTGCGCAACCAACAAGCCGTAATGCAAAATTTTGTCTATCCTTTACTTCTGATCTTTATCCAAGACAAACTAGAAATATGTGTTTTTCCTGTATCTACTGCAGTAGACATCATGCGACACTGCTGATCGAGCAGTCAAAAGCTCTACTTCGCATATTTTTGATTTACCTGTAAGTTAGTAAGTGATTAACTAATTCGACGAGGCAATTACAAGTATATGAGATTTTTTACGCTCACCCAAATGCCAATCCAGACGCCATAACCGATCTTAGGACACCAGTGATCCACTGCAATACGGGATGCAATTCCCAGTATAATCATTAAAGAACCAAACACCATATGTGCGATAGCTAGACCTCGAAGAGACACAGGATGGTACGCCATGACTACCAACAATATGGCGACTTAGTATTCAACGAAATGTTCGAGAATGACGTCTACAAGATGAGACTTCCATAGGGAGGGGGGGGAGGGGAGGAAGTGAAACTGTTCGTCACTTTTAGCACAGGAGGAACTGAATGTATAAAATAAAACTGACGAGGAGGTCAATTCAATGACATTTATTTCTTTGACTGGATAAATAGTTTAATTTAGCGCGTGACTTTCTCGTAATTCAGATTATATGACCTAAGTTTACAAATCTTGCTTGCTTTGGGTATGATGGGGCGCAGAACACCCGGTGCCATCTGATATGACGTCATAATTTTACTTCCTTGTTATTTTCACTTAGTCGCCATTTCGATTGTAGTCATGGTGTACAGAGCGACTACTTTGCGAGGGTTGGCCAACTCACAGATGGTAGTTGGGGCTGTAATGATCGTGTTTGGAGTAGCATGTATTATCTCCGCTCAACACTGGAGTTCCTACGTTGGTTTTGGCGTCTGGGTTGGCCTTTGGGTAAGTTTGATCTGTTGCTTCCGCATGCCGTGCGTACAAATGTGAATGACCGTTTCTCGATTGTATTGATAAAGCATAATTTGCAGTCTCTGTTTTTCACTTTTGTCTTTTGATTTGCCAGTAATAAGCTTTGATAAAGTCACCCTAAATCTTCCCAAATTGTTGATTTCAGTTCCTCCTGGAATTCGAAATCGTCGCGAGAGACACGTGGGGACTTTCGAAACTCTGGAATTTCGCTTTCATGTGAAGGAGGTTATTATTTTTGGGGCAGCTGGTCTATATTCCCTGAATTTGACATTTTGTTGCGTGATTTTTGCACTGAAGTGAAGCGAGTTTGAACCATAAATTTAGCGCTCTTATGGTTTGGGTAACACGATATCTAAATGACGCCTCATCTGAAGGCTCTCAGCAAACCTTTAGGCTGGAATTGGTGGCCTTTAATTCCATTGCATTGTACATAATGTTGGAATGAGGAACATGAGCTTAAAAGAACATCATTGATTGCCCATGATGCATGTGGAGTTCTAGAGGTTCCACAGCCTGCTGATCCACATTTTATATTAGTAACCCTCACTCGATCATCTAAGGGAACTATTGGCACCAAATCAGGCAACATGGACTCCATCTCCACTTTAGTTGGTGAAGCTTTATTAGCCAGTCCTGTCTGAACTGAGTCCAATATTTATGGCCAGCAAAATAAAAACAAATTTGTCTTTCGGACTTTAAGAATATACATGTTATTACAGTAAATCCACAGGGAGAGTTATTTTACTGCATTCAAAAGATCATTCCACTTGTATGTATTATTTATAGGTTTTAATCACTGGGATTTTGGGATACATAGGAGCAAGAGAAGACTCAATCCCAAACAATTGTTTGGTGAGTAACTTGACCATTTAAAGAAACCTGTAATTATTTTTTCTGGCCATTTTCTCAAAACAATCATACACACAGGAATGTATATTGGTATCCCTTTTCCCTTGTAATGAGAAAAATGGGATGGAAAACCCCACTGCAGTCAAATTTTTCTCAAGTGTAATCTTAGGTATCTATAATGACTGACAATCATTTCATAAATTTATCAAAAATAATGGAAGAAGGAAAAAAGTACCAAGAAAACAAGTAAAACAACTTAAACAGCAAATTCATATTATGCATTGGTTATACCATTATATTTATAAACATGCACATAATAGTTATCCTGTATAATTTGGGATTTTCAAATCAGTTTATGACTAAACAGTTTAAAAATTTTTTTTAACCATAAACATTCAAACCATTGACATAAAGGTTTCTGCATGAGATGATAATCAAGACTGGGGGCTCACCAGTCTATCAACTTTTTTTACCCACAGTGCAGGTGCATATATGAGGTTAGGCTTTAAATTGTATAAATGCAGTAGATAAAGTCATGTGTTTGAATTGTGTCCTGTGTTTTTTATCATCAGATTGGATGTTTTATGGGTTTCTCCATTTCAAGTTGTGTCCTCTCAGGAGCAATGTTCATCTGCTATTGCATTACTCTTGCAAGCTACTCCGATATGAAGGCATACTGTTCAAACTCTTACTATGGCAACAGATATTATGGTTCCTCTACCTACCATGATTGCTATCAGTAGTATGGCTTCCACAGAGATACAGCAGTAAATGTGGCTGGTTTAGGCTCGTGTCTCCTTCTTATCTCCTTGGGTGAGTTCTTCTTGGCACTTGCATCGTCCATCTATTGTTGTACAGCAGTGTGTTGTGGTACCCTCACCAGCAGTTGTGAGCAATGTAAGTAATTATCACCTCAACCATTCAGTTGTTAATGCTAAAAGTTAACATCAAATCATTTTACTGATTCAGAAATATATATTTTATGGCCAATAAAACTAGGGAATATCCACTGATATTTCCAATTTTTAAATCTTGTGTCCAATGCTATGAAAGTCTTCATTTTAAAGTAGATTAGAGCTGTTCTTGTAGGAGAGTATCTTGCTGTTTTCATAGAAGAAAAGACCAACTTCCATGTATTGTGAATGTATATTTTCCCTAAGTTGTGCTGAAAATCTTTCTTAATTTATATATATATTTATATAGAGTGTGTAGCTTCACATTTCCCCCCTTTTTTCTGGTAGCAGCAGTCATGAAAAACACGTGAAGTCTCTGAAATGCTGTCACTCTTCTTGTCTTTTTTCCTTTCCACAGTAGCTCTGTTGTAAACCTACATGTATAGTTTTGAGCATTCTTTTGACTTTACTTGGTGAAATGAGAAATAATCAATTTTTTTTATGAATTAATGATTTTTATATTTAATGTAACTGATGTTTCATTACTGTGACTATAGACAAGGACCAACCAGCTACTGATGTGTATACAGCCTCAGCACATGTACCCAGGGGCACAGCCTGGTGTGGTTTTAATGCAGACTGATGCTGGTGTGGTGCCACAGGGATACCCAGCAATGAGCCAGCAACCTGTGTATATAGCCCAGCAGGTAACTATAGATTTAACTTATGTACTGATTTATGATACAATCCAAGGACAAACAAAAAAGTTTGAAATAATGGAAGTTTGAAGGGGAGTACTATAATCATAGAATGATTCAGTTTATTTTTGTGTTTTCAGTGTTTTTTTGTTTGTTTGTTTTTTTTTGTTAGAAAACAAACCACTTGATTGCACAACCTGGGGTAGCCTTTCAGCAGCCTCATTACTGGGCTGTTCCCTTAGGATCCAACCCAGCTGAGGCAGTGACTGTGCCCTATTCAGATGCTGCCTCCCAAGGGCAGAATCAAGCTCAAGTCCAGGTAATTATGCATGAGTACATAACTGTTAAATGTTAACCATTTACAACCTAGTATTGATATGCATATTCTCCATACTGTTCTCTATACATTTTCCAAGATGACAAGGAGAATTTGTTAAACAATGAAGAGCTTCTTTTGTTGGTAATAATTTCCTTCATTCTCAAAACCTTAATGTGTGAATCAGAGCTGATGTTGTAAGGATAAATTAGTTGCTAGTCACTCTTTGGGTGAGCCAAAGGGTTTATGAGATGGTATGTCATGTGATTGTGTTTTATCTAATGTAGAATTGCCTTGACCTCAGTTGGATGAACCTTTTTGAATAAATGATCAAACTGTCCCAATAGCATTTCTTAGAATAGATTGCCTCACTTAATTTTTCCCTAGATACCTGAGGCAGTAAAGGGTGAAGACATGCCACCACCTTATTCATTTGCACCAACAGCCAATGTGCCACCACCAGCTTTCTCTTCTGTGGATGCCAATCCAAACTATTAGTGCCTGATGTCATTTCATGAATGAGCAGTGACATGTTCATCAGAAGACCTTTGCAATTGGGGCATACCTTAAAAAGTTTGTGTTTGTGAATTCTTTTAGTACAGTCAAACCTGTATTAAGCATCAAAGTCCCAGGATTTCCCCCTGAAACAGTTAAAGATCAGATAGCTCAGTCTAAGACTGAGATTTAGTCAGAGTTTATTAAGAGTCAAATTAATCTTGTGTATTTTTCAAAAAAGTTTATCTTTGTGAGTTCTTGTAGTAAAAAATTGTACACCATAAGGGATGGTGAGTTGCCATGTCCTCAAAGTGACTGGTAACTGTTGTAAGTATTTGACCATAGTAGTACTTAAGCTTTAGCTGTAAACAGACTGTTTCTTATGGAATGATTATTAGTTTTTAAAAATTTTAAAAGGCAAGCTCTGTAGCTTCAAAATAATGTAAGTTGTAACTATAACATGTTGGTGCAAAATTAATATATTTTAAAGTATCAAAGGATGTCAAACATGCTATTTTTTCATGTAGATGGTTTGAAATTGTTTTTACCCTTTAACTCTTAGAAGTTATTAAAATGTATAACTTCTCCATATAATATCCATAAATTATCCAGCAAGTAGCCAGTGAGATTGCTCAACCTTATTAGTAAGAAGTTGTTACCTTTATTGAACACCAATTTCTCATAACCAATGTATAAGGAAAGGTGTAGCAGCAAGAGGGGAGAATTGAAAATAAGATCTTGGGAGTTATAGGGTTAAAGGAGAAAACGATTTTTTGAACCTTTTCAACAATTTAGTGGATCATCAGCTCAGAATATTTAACAAAGGCAAAGTAAATATTGTTGAATAACATGCTAGAGGAAGTTATAATAAGTGGATTATTCAACAATAATTATTGTACATAAACTGTACTATACTGATAAATTAAAAAGTATTTCATAATTATTCTCTACACACACACACACACACACACACACACACAATCAAAACATGTGAAGTAGCCATCATGAAGAAGAAAACCCCCATTTTTTTAATAGCAGTAAATTCATGTGCTTTTCAAGTTTACTTTTATTCAGGAGGATGTAGCAAAGTGTATGGATATGACCCCACTTTTCCAGTAATTTATTATCAGCTAACTCGAACTCAGTTAACAGACTTGAACTAATGTTACCTTTACTTGGCTTGAATTTACTCTGAACTTTAAGTAAAAACGTTGATTGATAAACTTTTAAGTGTTGGTCATAACTAACACTAAACTTCTCAGACTGTGCTTTCACGAAAGTCATTTATGTGAACTTCAGTTAAAGAAATGAATATGAAAGCAGTCTTCGCAATAACAAACACTACTTAAGCAGTAGGAAAAATTAAGGACTTAAAAAAAATTAATTCAAACTAATTTTCATTTCTCTTGGAAGTTTCAGTTATCAGGGTTCTACTGTTGTCAGAGAGTATGCATAAATCCATCTTTGAGGTTTAATACTGAAGTTATTCTTTACCTACATCATTTTTATAATTTACAGTTATTACTTTCCATGATACTGTCATTAAGAAAACCATGAAATTTTTGGCTTTCGTGAAATTCAATTTTGTAGAGAAGCCATGTAGCAACTGCCAAATTGCAGATTACAGTAATTCCCATGACTGACTAAGTAGGACAGAATATCAAGCAGACAAGTGATGAGAATAGAAAAAAATATCAATTAGGGGTTTGCTGGTTGATCCAATACCAAATCCTCCAAACTACCATCACAAGAACTGTAAGGCAAACGGTAAAAAAAAATTATTGAGAACTTCAGGAGTGAGAGGGATGTATAAGCAGGTTTATTGCGATTGTTTTTAAACCAAATGTTGCATCTTGGCATGTATGTACTAAAAGTGTGGCAGCTCTTATCACAAACAGTGGTCAAACTATAAGCTTGTGATTTTCTTTGCAAAAATTAACTGATGTAAACGAGTTTGATTTCATATCAAAAGAGTTTTGTGTGTGGACTTTGTCTCAGGAAATCTTAGGTCAAGCCACATCGCAAGATCGGTCAATTTTTGAAACTTTCAAAAACTTAAATAACTACGGTAAATCTGTAATTCTGGTTTTAACGTGGGTTATTTTCCGCCATCAAATAAACCCACCAGCACAGAATGATGCTTGCCAAGGGCTGTAAATTGTGTTTCGTGAATCGTAACATATCAATATTGAAGGTAAAATATTTTTTTCGGAACCCATCTCCCAAAATGATCAAATTGGAAAATTAAAAAAGGTATCTGCACAAATGTTTTTTTATTTAAACCACAGCCCGTGAGCAATTTACTACAAGGATTAAGTGTGACAAATATGCATATCAGGTATTTTATTGTTATAAACAAATTGAGTAATGACCTCATGTGCAGAGGAATTGATCGCTCCGTTATACTGACGCAATTGTGAATCACTCGAAACCCTCCACAAAATCACCTTCTAGGTGCTCGTCAATGCCACTAAGAGATCAAGAAATTTGGCGTACACAGATAATTTCCCGATGGCGTAAATAACACCAAGGGAGTGATTGTATCTATAGAGACGCATTGTACGTAACTAACAAGCCGCGATGCAAAATTTTGTCTGTCCTTTACTTCTGATCTTTATCCAAGACAAACTAGAAATATTATTTTGTTTTTCCTACATCTACTGCAGTAGACATCATGCGACACTGCTGATCGCGCAGTCAAAAGCTCTACTTCGCATATTTTTTATTTACCTGTAAGTTGGTAGGTGATTAACTAATTCAACGAGGCAGTTATAGGAGATTAGATTATAAGTATAGGAGATTTTTTACGCTCACCCAAATGCCAATCCAGACGCCATAACCGATCTTAGGGCACCAGTGATCCACTGCAATAAGGGATGCAACTCCCAGTATAATCATCAAAGAGCCAAACACCATATGTGCGATAGCTAGACCTCGAAGAGACACAGGATGGTACGCCATGACTACCAACAATGTGGCGACTTAATATTTAACGAAATGTTCGAGCGTGACGTTTACAAGACGAGACTTCCATAAGGAGGGGGGGAGGGGAGGAAGAGAAACTGTTCGTCACTTTAAGCACAGGAGGAATTGAATGTATAAAATAAAACTGACGAGGAGTTCAATTCATTGACATTTATTTCTTTGATTGGATAAAAAGTGTAATTTAGCGCGTGATTTTCTCGTAATTCAGATTATATGACCTAAGTTTATAAATCTTGCTTGCTTTGGATGTGTTGAGGCGCAGAACACCCTCTACATCTGATATGACGTCATTATTTTACTTCCTTGTCATTTTCACTTAGTCGCCATTTCGATTGTAGTCATGGTGTACAGAGCGACTTCTTTGCGAGGGTTGGCCATCGCACAGATGGTAATTGGGGCTTTGATGACCGTGTTTGGAGTAGCATGTATTTTCTTTGCTCAACACTGGTCTTCCTACCCTGCGGGTACTGGCGTCTGGGTCGGCCTTTGGGTAAGTTTGCTCTGTTGCTTCGAATGTCGCCTACATACATTCATATACTTTATTTATGCTCGAAATTCACAGTGTAGCTGTAGAGCTAATATCTTCGAGAAAATAAGCTAAAATAAAACAAAATATGCTATATTACAATTCCAATATTATTTATATACTATATACAACATTATGCATGCAGAGGGAAATATAAATTGTAGATCTACTGTGGAAAAGATCTCCTGCTTGAATTCTTGAAAATTTAATGTTTTGTAAGTGTCTGGGAGAGAGTTCCATATTTAAGTATGAAAGTTAAGTATGAAAAAGAGTGCAGACCGTAAGTCGTTGTTTTTGGGTTGGGAAGGGCCAGGATATGATTTCCGCGCAAATTGTAGGATGAAGACCGAACGATGAACATATCATTAAATAACCTGGATAATTCGTAAAAAACAGACTCTTATATAACGCGATCATGAAGTTCTGGCGTCTAATGAATAGAGATTTTAAGTTAACTTTGCTTAGTCAAATGTCATAGGGAGAGCTGTAGTCCTGTAGTATAAACCTTGAATGCGCTTATTTAGATTATCTACTTTGCCGGCATTGTGCGCACCACAGAAATGCCAAACAGAGGAACAGTAGTAAAAATGCGGCAAAATAAAGGCTTTATAAAGCTTCAACAGCGTTTCCTTATTAATAACTTTCCGAAATCTAAGTAGTACGTTAAATTGATTATTTATTTTCTTACAGATGACTGATACGTGTTATCAAAAGAGAGCCTATTATCTGTTGTCATCCCAAATATACCTATCGAGTTATTTACTCGGATACAAAAATTGTGCTCAGTTTTACCACTGATTTGCGACATTAACTTCTTGACCATGTACATGGACATGTTCATGTACATTACGTACCAATGTACGTGACCCTTTTTCGTTTGTGTCAATGGAGCATAATTTGCAGTCTATGACTTTAACATTTGTTTTTTGGATTTGCCTGTAATAAACTTTGATCAACTCACCCTAAATGTCAAGAAATCGTTGATTTTCAATTTCGAGCTATCATATGGGGATTTAAAGTCGAAAATCTGGAATTTCGCTTGTATGTGAATGAGGTTATTATTTTTGGACAGCTGGTCTTTATTCATTGTAACAGACATTTTGTGGCGTGATTTTTCCACTGAAGCAATATATTTCACTCTTTCGTGTGGTGATTTGTGCAGCAGGCGAAAGATGACTGAGCAGTTCACTGACAGGCGTTAATCAAGGTGTTATTAGAACGTGGATTAGCAGACTGTGGAACCTCTCGAACCTACGATTGTTCAAGGAAAATTATTATACATATAGAATTGAAAAAACCACAACATTTTTTAAGCAATCAGCTGTGACCTTCCCTCAAGTTTTAATAATGTTTGGGTAATGCAATATCTTAATAATGCCTCAACTGAAGGCTCTTATAATTAGCAAACCTTCAGGATAGAATTGGTGGCCTTTTATTCCATGGCATTGTACATCACGCTGGAGTGAGGAACACAAGCCTTGAAGTAACATTATTGCCAATGATGCAAAAGTGTAATTTTGTGTCCTGTAGGTTTTGCTG